ATATTGCACTCCTAAGCAGGAGTAGATCATATTCCAGGACAAGACCTGGTCCACACTATTATATTAACAGGGGAGAGGAAAATCAAAGAAATAAGCAGCAGGAACTACACTAGGAACCCAACTGTTGCTGACTGTGATGGTCAATACATTGTGATTGTCAGCTCCCCCCCGTCATCCCCTCTCAGTCTGTATTGGAAACACTTTAGCCATTGGTTTAGAAAGCTTGATCCGTTTCCATGTCATTAATGAAAGCATGACAAGTGCTTCATTCCACCAGGTGCAGATGGACCCTTCATCTAACAGCATTTCATCTTAGCTATTCCCTATAAGACCCAGGAACTGCCGTAGCAGCAAAGACCAATGGCCCACATGCAATAGCATTTACCTCTGTCCAGGACATACCTGACACTTCAGAGGAAGCATGACATGCTGAAGTCAAACGTTCCCACTTCACGTGGATCTTAACTGTCATTTGAGAAACACCTCCCCAGGGAAGACTTGGCTAAGGGACACTCAGTCACTTACCTTTCCAACTTCCATATTAGTTACTTTGCTAGGCCCAACTCCACACACCCTTGCAGTAAAGCGCTCCAAGGAGCAGGGAAGAGAATTCAAGAACTCCATTTGATTCAGCCAGTTCGTCTTGTAGGGTTTCCGCTCCATGCTCCTACCAGGGGCAGGGCTTTACAGCCTTAAAGGGAGCAGAGTGTGGGCCTCCAAACTCCAAGAGAACCTGACGCTCCACAGGGAAGGGATGTTCCAGACGAGTGGATCCTTTGGGATGGGCTGCTATGGGTTCTCCACGCTGCACCTGAGCTCTACGCCCTCCAAGTAGGGGAGGTGACATGGTGATCAGGACTGCTGACTTTCTGGAGGAAATAACTCCTGTGTTTGAGCCTGAGGGGAAGAATCCTGGAGAGTGACTGCTCCTGGTTGCCACAGGCAGTGCCACAGCTGTGCGGTGTTCAGACAGAGGGGCTCCTGCAAGCTCAAGGGAAGGGGAAAAAAGCTGGAAACTTAGGCCCAGATCCACAAAGGAACTTAAATCCAGATTTAGCATCACTGCAATCCACAAAATCCCCACTCAGCTGCTGCCTAACCCTGTAGGTGCCTAAGCTCACTCAGCGCCTACATTTTTGCTGCAGAAGTTCCCTGGGCGCCTATATTTCTGCCTCTGGGCATGTGCACTTCTGCCTTGCTTTAAGCATCCTTACTTCTAGGTCCCAGAGCAATCCACAAACTGGGGGAAGATAGGCACTCCTCCTCTTATCTTGCCTGTGGGGCTCCATCCAGTAGGCATGCTCTGAGTATACCTAACTCCACACAAAATGCCTGGGGACAGGGGAGGCAGCCTCCCTTATACTCTTTCGGTCAAAGGTTAGGTTACTTCTCTGGGATACGGGAGACCCTGGTTCAATTCCCTCTTTGCTTGATAAGGCATTTGAATAGTGATCCCCCACCTCTCAAGTGCCCTAACTACTCAGCTAAGGAGTGAGAATCACTGTCTCTCTGGCCTAATTAATTATTCAACTTCAACAGAAGAGACAGAGGAAGTCCCACATCACAATATCCCGTAGTCCGATGGCTGAGGCCCTCTCCTGAGAGGTGGGGAACCCTTGTCCAAATCCCTTCTCATCAAGTAGAACAGGGGTGGCCAACCTGTGGCTCTGGAGCCACATGCGGCTCTTCTGAGGTTAATATGTGGCTCCTTGCATAGGTGATGACTCCAAGGCTGGAGCTACAGATGCTAACTTTCCAATGTGCTGTGGGGTGCTCACTGCTCAACCCCGTGCTCTGCCCCAGTTCCTTTCACCACTCCACCCCTTCCCTCAAAACTCCTCCCCCCTCCCCACCAAAGCCTCCTGCACATTGCAAAACAGCTGATTGCAAGAGGCGTGGGAAGGGAGGAGGAGGCGCTGATTGGAGGGGCTGCCAGTGGGCGGGAGGCGCTTGGAGTTGGAGGGGGGCTGCTGACATATTACTGTGGCTCTTTGGCAATGTTCCTTGGTAAATTCTGGCTCCTTCTCAGGCTCAGGTTGGCCATCCCTGAAGTAGAAGGTAGAACTGAACGGGTGTCTCCCACATCCTGGGGGAATACCCTAACTACTGGGCTATAAGTTATAGAAGAAGTCATGATCCTCCTCCTCCTCCCCATCCCAATGGTCCATTGTGTGGCACTAGGCAAGTGCCTAACTCATTCTTAAACAGCTTAGGCACCTAAGCCACCTGACTCCGGGAGAGGAGTTCCCAGTTGTGAACCACAAGCAGAGATGGGCACATCCCTGCAGCCCAAACTTAGCTGCTGAACTCTGTCAGAAGGGTGGGGCTTAGCCCTCTCCCCCTTCTTGGCATCTCCCATTGGCTAGCTCAGGCATCTCCCCACCTAGCATATTGGCTTTTATAGGGAGCCTAGGCACCGAACTCAGGCTTTGTGGATCCCAAAGTTGTTCCAATGATTTTCTAGGTGCCTAAAAGTTAGGCATTGCAGTGCCTAAGTCCCTTTATGGATCTGGGCCAAGTCTCTTCTCCTCCTTCCATGTGTTTGCTCTCCTCTGTGTCACAGAGCAGAGAGAAGCACAGGGCTCCTAGTTACTAACCTAGGCAAAGAACAGAGATATAACTAGCCATCTGAAGTTCATACACATACTACATTTATCAAACCAATCCCCCCTGCCCACCCCAGTCTTCTTTCCCAGCAGTTTTTACTCCTGATCTACACAAGTATATGTGGGAAGAGAATCAAAACCATAATCTCTGAGGGTGGACGGATCATTAAATACAGTATAATTACTAATGCAGCAGCAGAGAGACAAGCAGAGTGTGATGGATGAAAAGCCAAACAAACCTGCTAGTCTCAGTAGGAAATGTTGCCAGCAGAAATGTTAAACTGTACACCATGGCGTACATGCCCTATGTCCACCTACCCCCCAGGTCAGTCTTTCATTAAACTAACATGTTAATGCAAAAGCTACATGCGAAGTATCTATTCCTCACCAAGGGTTTTTCAGTCTTGCATTCATAAATCAGTACAGATATAAGGGGCCGGGGGAGGAAAGAGATGGGCTCCAGCTGTGAAGTCCAGTCCCCGACCTAAACTTTCCCAAAGTCTCATATACACACATTCTAGATGAAATCTTAGCCCCACTGAAATCTGTGAACGCAATGGGGCCAGGATTTCACCCTCTTTATTAAGAGAATGTCAAGGTTGTGTAATTATTAGTATTCCTGTTTATTACTGTGGTGCTTAGGCACCAACCAAGAATGGGACCTACAAGCTTACATTCTAAACAGAGAAGACAGACACAGGGTAAAAGACAGAGATAGAACATAAATAAAGGACTCAAAGGCCAGGAAAGCCCATAGCAAGGTTGTAAAGTCAAGGTTTAAGATTGCTTTGGCTGAGGCAGGACTCCTTAAGAGCTCTTCCTCGTTCAATCTGGACACGGTCACTATGCAGCTGAGTGAATGGTACATTTGTGCACCACGCAGCTGCTGTTAACCTGCTAACTTTCAATTTAGGTTTGGTCTGGACAGCTAAAAAAAGTGTGTTTTTACCATGGATTAACTAGAGTGCACTAGCTACAACCCTAGTGGAGACAAGGCGTTTTAGTTTTACTGCAAGGTCAACCACAGGTGGAGGGTATAGCGCAAACCTTGCCTACTAGCTACCTCGTGGTAAACTCTACAGTGCAACTCAGCCTGGATGTGAGGACCTAAACAGAGGTCCATGTCTAAATCTTGCAGATTCTTTCAGCAGAACAACAGCAAAATAAGGCCTTTCTTGTCCTTTCACACAGCAAAACTCTCATCCAAGCTCTTATCATCTCGCCTCTTGATTACTACACCATCCTTTTCCCTGGCCTCCACAAATGCAATTTTGCCCCACTCAGATCCATTCAGAGCATTGCTGCAAAGATCATTTCCCTAGTCTATCGCTTTGGCCACATTACCCATCTGTTGGCATTCCTCCTTTCGCTCCCTCTTGTCTATCACATCAAAAAAATATATATAAGCGACTTGTCTTCCCTTTCAAAATCTTTCATGACCTATCCCCACCCTACCTATTATCCGTCATTCAGAATTGTAAGGTCGCCTCCCACTTCCACCCAGGCCCATGATGCCAGTCACCATTGCCCTCTTGTTAAATTTTCAAACAAACACCTTTGTGCTTTCTCCCATTTCCCCCCAGGTATACTGTCAGGCCCACAGGCTTCAGGAGCTGGTGTTCCTTCCAGCTGAGTTTTCACCAAGTTAACCCTTAGAGGGTCCCATTTAAACTCCACACTGGATAGGCACTCCCTGTACACATCTGCAAAGCCACCTCATTATCCACTTTCAAATCCTTCCTCAAAGCTCGCTATTGCTGTGATGCCTACAAAAAAAAACTTGACAAGTTAGGCTGCTGATGTGCAGAGACCACAGTCTATCATACTGACCATCATCATCGGTTTCCTTGGGCACAGACAAACTGATGGGGGAGTACATCTGTTGTCTCTTGTCTTACAATCTAAGTATACACTTTTTGGGGAAGGGACCATCTTTTTGATCTGTGTATGTACCCCACCTGGCAAAATGAGGTCCATGCCTGGGGCTCCTAGGTGCTGAAGCAATACAAATAATATAATATGGTGGTTTATATCTATTAGGATTTTACACTGAGATAACTAACATGCAGTCGTTACCTCACTGTTAAAAAAAAAATCTTTGCAGCAGTGAAGACTTGCATTGCCATTGCAGCATTAGAGCTGTCAACAAATAATTGCAAACATATACATATATTGGCAGAGACCAAGCCTAGAAACCAATAGGTGACGTTTTCAAGAAATTATTCGTGATGCAAAACAGGTGCTTAGAATGGAAACACTTAGGCAACCTTAACTATAGCTGTTATTTGCACTCAAGCTATAACATACACACACACTTCATGAGACAGAGAAAAGCAACTGCTGTACTAAGTTTCTTGGGATCTCAGGGTTCTGCCAAGTCCTAGAGCCACTTACTTTAGCCAGGTATGCAGCATTCCTTATTGTCTCCACCATCTCTCTGCCTGCAGGGTGCACCTTTGCCACATGCACCCACATCCTCTCCCAGGTTTGCCCATCAATAGGGAAGCCACTTTTATTGACGAGGAAAAGCACCCCTCCATCTTTGTCTTCTTCTTCCGAGCCCCCGTTGTTGGCAGTGCTGACAGGCCGTGCATGGGTGCTCCTTGACCGGCCCCCTTTGGCTCCCTTGGGATGGGGGCAGTGGTGGGCATTGGAAGTAGAGCCTGTCATGATGGGTTTGAATTGCGAGAGCAGTCCAAGTAGGAAGTATGTATATAGTTCAATGCCACAACAAGGAAACCTTATCCATCTCTCACTTGCTGCCACAGCAATCAGGCAGAGTGGTTATTAGCTAAAATTAGCCAGCGTGAGTGCTGCTGGGTTTATTCTCTTGTGGGCTGAATCTAAAACCAGCAGGATGAGAAAGAGGAAAAGAGAAAGCATGTTAACAGAAGAAGAGGAGCAGAGTTTATGCAAAGCATTCAGCTTACTGCATTACCTAGGGCTGGCACACAAGGAGATAACAACATGGCTAGATCCCTTTCTGTATCAACTAAGACTGACAGACAAAAGGACAATAGCAATCTGGAGAGACACCTCTGTAAAACTCCCAAGGGCGTCACACAAGGGTGACAATAGCAATCTACCTAGATCCTGCTCCATATTACCCCTTGGGGTTCCCAAAGGGGGATGACAAGTGACCTGGACCTGGCTAGATCCCTCTGCTTAGGGCTGTCACATTAAGAGACGATAGCACTCTGGCTAGATTCCTGTCTGCATCACCCGGTTCAATCTGACACAATGCTGGAGTCCAAAATGTAAACGTAACATAATCCCCCTCGAACTAAAGCCCAGAGACCCTACACTCCACACTCATCCTCTCCTCTTTCCTCAGAGGTGGGTGATTCTGTGTCAGCCACCAGCAGCAGAGAACCAGACTGCAGCACTAAGAGTATTATCTTAGGCTCAGCTCGAGAAGGGTCCGTTCGCAAGCGATCCCCAGCAGCAGAGGGCTGGGCTGGGCTGGGAGTGGGTGGGTGCCTGCCTGCTTCCCCAGCTGCTGCTGCTGCCGGCTATTCTTTAACAGACATGCCATCCCTGCCATGAATCCTCCCCCACCCCCATACCTGGTCGCAGCGGGATTCATTGCACCATGGACTCTCCGGGAGGCTGGGGCTGCTGCGGCTGCCTCTTTCGCCTTATTCCATGTTCCATGATTGTTACTCTCTGACACGTAACCATGTTACCCGGCAGCCGCCGACGGTCCGAGCGCCCCTATTGGCTGCCGCAACAAAGAGGGGCGGCCCCAGGAGCTGGAAAGCCACGCACAGAAGCTTTGCCGAGTTCTGGTTGGCTGTGATCTTGCCAGGGGGCGGGGCCAGCAGGAGAAATCTGATCACTTATTGCTGGAGATGAGCTGCCGTCAGTGTCTGGAGCTCCCAGTGGTTCGGTGCGTTTAAATTCATAAATCGGAGTGTTACATCTGTTAGACATTTGTACGTAGATGAAGATTAATTTTCTAGCACCAACAGTATTCTATGTCGGAACATTTATTTAACATACTGTACTAATTATTCTAAATGAGGGTAGATTATTTATTTCTCTGGTACCCACAAGCTGCAAGACACTTCACAGCTATGATCCCTATCCTCAAGAGTTGACGATCTAAAACCTTAGTCCTATAATCAGATCCACATGGGGTGACATTTGCATCTATACAGATCCAGTTACAGAACCATGGTCTAAAGCAAGGGTTTTCAAACTTCATTGCACTCCGACCCCCGTCTGACAACAAAAATTACTACATGACCCCAGGAGGGGGGGACCAAAGCCTGAGCCCGACTGCCCCGGGCGGGGAGGCCAAAATCAAAGCTGAAGGGCTTCAGCTCCAGATAGAGGGGCTGCAACCTGAGCCCCACTGCCCAGGGTTGAAGCCCTCAACCTTTGGCTTTGGTCCCGGGCCCCAGCAAGTCTAAGCCAGCCCTGGTGACCCCATTAAAATGGGATTGCAACCCACTCTGGGGTCCTGACCCACAGTTTGAGAACCGTTGGTCTAATGTAAAGTGCAACCCTGCCCACCACTTTTACTCTCTCTCCCCTACCTCAGTGGGTTGTACCCAGCGACACTAACATTCCAGTCATACACATCGTCCCACAGGGTTTCCCCATTTCCCCTCCCCAGGGAGAATTTCCAACTCCTCTTCCTTATTGCCCAGATTCCACTGCCAAAAGCAGTGTTGCTTCCCTTCACAAGTGTTATCTTGCAGGGCACATACACTGCAGCACAGCATTCCCCTGAGTCCACACTTGTGTTACTGCAGGATGGGTTATCTGTAAGCCAGGGAGAGACTCCATCTCACATGTCCCTTTCTTCCCTCCATTGGAAGGTGCTGGGGGAGAAAGAAAACGTGTCCCCAGGGCTGAGGCAGAATGGCATTGCTGGCTTTGCAGCATGCTCACCAGGAACCCTCAAGCCTTCCCTATCAGCTATGCAGCATCAGAGCCTGGATTGGAGCAAGGGAAAGGCCTATTTCCCACAGAATCCTTCCCTCAGGCCCAGAGCATTTAGAGCAGAAATCCCTGTGGGAGTTAATGTTGCTCTAAAAAGAGCTGCCAAGGGGCGTGCAGCTTCTTGACAACACCACACAGAGTGATCTGTTTGTAGAGATGCATAAAGCCCTGCACTGATTTCTCTGAGAGGATTCCCCTGAGCAGTTGGGGGAGGCAGGACCTTATTCCTTACCTCTCGTGACAGCAGGGCTGTGTGAGAGCTTGTAGAGAGCCAGAGACAGCTTTCTAGAGGGTTAATTCAGAAATTCCCTATGGAACCTAGGGGCTGCGGCCTACGGCAGGAAGGAGCCAGGTGGTTGTTGGAGTGACTCTAGGAGGAATGCTATGGGATGGCTCTCTGATCACCTCTTCACTCTGCTTCTTCCCACACCCACCTTTGGGGTAAGTCCATCACCTCCTCCATAGCCATCGCTGCTGCGTATGGGCTGGGAACCAGATACGGCAGTAGAGAAGTTGCTCACTCAGCCCATGCACAGGAGGATCCATTGCAGCTCAAGTCCTCCTGCTTGTCACAGCCCAGAGGAATGCATGACACTGAGCCTGGACTCTGACTGCATTAGTCACCAACAGGTGAGTGTGGAGGAGAAGACACATAACATGTCTACAAATAGCTTTTTCTGGACTGCTGAGGTGGGGGGAGAGAGGCCAGATTCTATCTGGCTCCTTAGGACTCTGAGGAAGCTCTGGGATCTGGAAAGAGGTCTCTGGAGCCTCAGGAGGTGCAGGTTTGGAGACATGTGGCGCCTACCTAGTCCAAAGTAACCTGCCGTGCTCCCCCACAAGAGCCATATTAACAGACAACACTGCAAGTGACCCCCATGCCTCTCTATTTCCTTGGCCACATGTACTGTGTCCTTTTTCTGGTGGCTAGTCCAGAAAAAGAGGACAAGAGCTCACTACTCCTACCACCTCAGCGGTTTGTTGGGTTAAGAAGCATGCAATAGTGACAGAATCTGGGACTTCAAGCCCCTAGAGTGGCCTATTACCTTTATAGACCTGCCCTTTCATCCTACACAGCTATTTTAAAGTTTAGTGTGATAGTAAAGAGACCCATTTTCAACCCTTCACCACACAAGACAAAGCCCACAGAGAGCTTGTAGAGAGCCAGAGACAGCTTTCTAGAGGGTTAATTCAGAAATTCCCTATGGAACCTAGGGGCTGCGGCCTACGGCAGGAAGGAGCCAGGTGGTTGTTGGAGTGACTCTAGGAGGAATGCTATGGGATGGCTCTCTGAGTTGTGCTCTCATCATTAACTATTTATTTCTACTCTCCTGGCTCCCAAACTGCTTTCCCTCCCTACTGCTGCCAGCCACCTTCGAGTTCTCCCTCTTCTCTCCCCGGCTCTGCTCACTCGATTGCAGCAGCTCAGCGGATGGTCCAGCTTTGCTCTTTCACTTCCATTCTTCTTCACTTCTGTGGATGGCTGCATTTGCCATTGAGCAGCCTGATAGAAATACCTGAGTCCTCTGTCTAGGCACGCAGGCCCAGCAGCTAAAGCCAAGCCCCACTGAGAGCAGTGGGAGATTAGCCTGGAGTCAAGAGTGGAGGCTTGGCCAATGGGGACCCCAGGCACTGCAGCTGCTGCCACCTACATGGTGAATCCTCCAACCCATCGCCAAATGGCTCTTCCACATTCTGCAAACTGGCCTCACTGGCTGACTATCTAGGAGAACAGAAACCCTCTGTTAGAACAGGAGAGTCTCTTCAATGCAGATCTCTTTCCGTGGCTCCCAGAGGGTCACAGTGAAACACCTATGAGTCTTTAGGAGTCTCTCAAGGAGTTCCCTGCTCAGTCACTTGGCACCCACTAGCAATGGTCTCTGATAGTGGCATTGCAAAGGGGAGCTCAGCAGATGGTCCCTTCTGTGGCTTCCTGAGTGAGAGGGAGGTTGGTCTTGCCATTTAAGGCCTAGCTGTCAGAATCAGGGCTCCTGGGCAGGGCCGGCTCCAGGCACCAGCTGAGCAAGCTGGTGCTTGGGGCGGCAGATTGTTGGAGGCGGCATTCTGCCCAATCCTAGGGTGGCACGGCCACTTTTTTTTTTCTTGTTCGTTTTGGTTTGCCGCTCCAGCCGCCCTGGAGGGGGCGGCGGCGTGGAGGAGGGGAGTGCCCTGCAGCAAACTCGGCAGGGCAGCCCGCGTCCTTCCCTCCCAGCCGACTGGAGTGGCGCAGATCCCTCCAGGCATGTGGCGCGGCAGGAAGTGCCACGTGGGGAGTGTCCCGCTGAA